AGGTTGAGAGAGGGGGAGAGGGGGAGAGCGCACACTGATGCTGAAGGGACAAGAGCGCTCGCGCGTTGTTTATCAGTATGTACATGTCGTGTCAACGCGAGCGACGGCGGAAGATAGATGCATATTCGTATATAGGAGGATGCTGCAAGGACGCTGCCGTACATTCGTGGGAAAGTGAAGGAATTTTCGTGGTAGGAGAGCGGAATATTCGTGGCAGAGTAGGAAGGGGGGGGAATAGTCGTGAGAGTAGGATAGAGAAAGATGGAAGAATGTTCGTTGGAGAAGGGCGCGACAGAGTGAAGGAGTCACGTCTTCGTGGGAGAATGAATAATGGAACAGCGGGAGGAGGAAACATCACGGGAAGGAGAAGGAGGAGGAGGAGGAGGGGGGGATTGCTGAGGGAGAGAGAAGATGTATGTATGTTTATGGGACGGGTGTGGAGGATGCTGGGGGAAAAAGCGGGAATAAATCGTACTCGTAACAGTGTGGTGTGCTGTAGTAGTCGTTAATGAGCTACTACTACTACTAGTCAAGTGGTGGTGACGTGACGTAAACGTTAGTGATTCCACTGTACGCCATGACGCAAACGTTAGTGATTCCACTGTACGTCATGACGCAAACGTTGGGTAGGCGGCTTTGACAGTAATCGTCGTCATCATGAATGTGTGTGTTTGAGGGGTGGGGGGTGGGGAGTACCGCCTCCCTCCTCACCCACCCCGCCACCAGTACCGCCTCCCTCCTCACGCCACCCCGTCACCATCCCTCGGGCTTCCCCTCCCTCGACCCTTCACAAGTACCGCCCCCTCCTCACCGCACACCTCACCTAGTACCAAACGTCCCTCCTCACGAACCCTCGCATCGAGTACATTCCTCTTCAACCAACCCCCACCAGTACGCGGCCTTCCTGCTCACTCAACCCGCCACACCAGTACCTACCTCCCCCTCACCCCCCGCCACCATACCGCCTCCCTCCCTCACCCACCCTCACCAGTCCGTGCTTCTCCCCACCCTGCCACCAGTACGCCGACTCCCTCATCACGCCACCCTCCAACAGTACCCACCCTCCCTCCTCACCCACCCGCACCATAACCACCTCCCTCCCACGACCCCAGCATCAGATACCGCCATCCTCCCCGAACTCCGCATCAGACCACTCCCCCTCCCGACCCGTCGCCATGCG